TTTTTTCCTTTCTTACCTTAAATATTTATATCATAATTGCAGACCACTAATCTCAGAGAGAAATATAATGATACACTTACTGATGGGTAGTGATATATAGGTCTTAGGAATCCTTAGCCTTCATTAAAATCTTTGTATTAGTGCTAAAATTTTGGAAATGACCAGTAAGATTAAAATGATGCCTTTTCTTTATAAATTATAGCTGGCTCTTAGGTTATTAGATAATAAATATTGTCAAGTATAAATTTATGGAAATTAAAAATTATAAGTACAGTGTCTGTGAGTGGTGTAACTTTGATTAAGATGTTTTACTTTTGTAACTTTAGATTTATTTTTGTCAAACAAGCAAATTGTAAAATACCGTCCCTAAGGCCTCTTCCAGCTTTAAAATCTTGTGTTGTTGGATGTGGTAGCACAGGGTGGCCCTACGACTCTAGCACTCTGGGAGCTGAAGCAGGAAGATCGCAAGTTCAAGTAAAACCTGGACAACTTAGTGATTTAACAACACTCTGTCCCAAAATAAAAAAGGACTGGGCATGTAGTGAAAATGCCCTGGTTTCAATCCCCAGTACCATCAAAAGAATTAAAAAAAAAAAAAAGTATTGTTTTGCTTCTTTAGATTTCTGATTCTTTCTCTTTCAATTTTCAGTGATGATGCAAACTTTCTGTTTCTAATCTAAAGTAGCATTGACATTCAAGAAGTTACAGGGTCAGCACCATCTTTTATAGTGATTTTCATAGTCTCTTAATTCATTTAGAAATCATGTATCATTTTGAACAGTATTATAAACTAGATGATTTGTAAATTTCATCTCTCATAAATTACTTTTAGTAGGATAATTGTATACCAGATTTTAGAAATCATCTTTGTGGTGGGTGAATCTAGATGCTTCTTAAGATTCAAGTTTAATTATTTGGGGAAGGATTCCAGCCATTTCTATAAAAAGCCTGGTTTTTCTGCCTTCTATCTGCTGCTCTCCTTTTTCACACCAAGAATCCTGGTTTTCAAACATCTGAGATAACAGCGTATTTTATAATGACTCATTTCCTTCATCCTATACCACATAGAAAACAGAACAGCAATATCTGTTCTGCTACCAAAATAATTCCTGAAAATAATTTGTTTTTCAGTTTTCCTGTTCTCTTCCTGATTTTTTTCTGTTTCTTAGTTGTCCTTAACGTACATTGTCAGAGCATGTGACGCACTGCAGTCTCTCCCTCCATCCCCTTTCCAGTATTCTGTGCAGTCCCCTCCTTGTCTGCTGAGAGATGATTGTAGGGCTTCTCCCAGTACGACAGTCTGTGATACGCAAGCCCCTTTTAGAAAGTGTGATGTGTTTGCTTATAAGTCATGCACATTTTTCCTTATTTTTCTCTAGATTACCTGTAATATCTAGTATAATAATTTTAAATGCCATGTAAATAGCTACCATATTGTATTCTCTCTCTCCTTTTTTTTTTTTTTTTTTTTTT